AGGGTTCATGAGGGAGGGGGGAGCAGGGAGAGAGGGGAAGATGAGGAGCTGATACCAAGGACTCAAGTAGAAAGAAAATGTTTTGAGAATGTTGATGGCAACAAATGTACAGATGTGCTTGACACAATGGATGGATGTATGGACTGTGATAAGAGTTTATGAGCCCCCAATAAAATGATAAAAAAGGAAGAAGGTCACCCCCCAAAAGGGGAAGACGCTCATTAAGATGGATTGACACAGTGGCTCCAACAGTGGGCTCAAACACAATTGTGAGGATGCACAGGATCAAGCAGTGTTTCTTCCATTGTACATAGAATAGCTGTGAGTAAGGACCCAGTCCACAGCACCCAGCAAGACCAGCAATATTCTTCTGGTTATATAAAGACTGTCATTAAGAAGGAAAGACAACACAATCCTTGATGCCCATGTGTTCTGAGGAGAACAATGCTTACTTACTGAATTTTGAAACTGTCCTTGTACCGGAGCCTTATATGCAAGTAAAAAATATCATTCAAATAATGGAGAATTTAATCATCTGTCTGATAAAGTGGAGTTATTTGTTTTGCCTTCCCCCTTTTCTAATTCTGGTAAATATATAGATAACACAGCAGTTGCCATTTCTACAATCTTCATGTGCATAGTTCAATGATATTAATGATATTCATCCTGGTGTTCAATCATCACTAGTTAACTGTTTCATAATTTTCCTATCACCCTTAACAGATGTTTTGCCTTCTTCTATAATCATCCATGTATCCATAGATCCATCCATCCGGCAATTGAGAGAGAGTAATATAGTCTAGGGAAAGGGACAACATGAATGAATTCGTGGTAGCAGGAATGACCTGAGCAGGTGAAGCCTGGGGGGTAGTAGAAACTTACGTTGGATGGGGGGAGGCCAGCTTAGAAGACAAAAACAGCCAAAGTCAAGAAGGAGGGTTAGGCTAGATGTAGTCAGAAATGGAATAATACTGTACAAAGGAGTTTTATATTAATATAAGAGTGAAGAAAGAGGAATCTGATAGTGGAAGTCATGGAAAGGTCATGAACGGGTCGAATATGGAGATTTGAAGAACCGTATTTTTGTCTGAGGAACATCGAAGAGCCACAGCACTGCAGGTTCCCCTTGACTATGATGGCGATGCGATCACCCAGGAGGTCTGCTTCATCCATAGAAGGAGTGGCGAGTAGGATAGTGCGGCCATATTTTTGCTGTTGAAGGAGAGTCCAGGTGGCTTTCTTTGACACGGAGTCCATGCCAGTGGTTGGCGCATCTAGCATCACCACCTACAAACCAAAATACAGCCCAAGTTACTGGGGCCTTCCCATTCTGGAAGAAGCTCCCTGTTTCTTGGGTAATCTTGGGTAATCGGTCCAGCTTTTTCTTTCCAATTATGCAGTATTACTCACCGAAGTACAGAGAGTATGTCAGGGTAAACTAAAACTACAGCTCTTAAACTCTAGTGTTTATAGGAATCATTTGAAGCACTGGCTAAAGCTGCATTACTGGTTCCCACTCTCAAGAGTTTCTGAGTCCATAGATTTGAGTGGGAATTTAATTTTCAACACGCTCCCAGGTAATTCTGCTACTTCTTTGGAAACCACACATTGAGAGTTACTGATCGAGAGCAGGGGTCAGCAGCCTTCTTCTGTGAGGGTTAGAAAATGAGCACTTCCGTCTTTGAGAACTCATCATTTCCATCACAACAGCTCTATTTAGTTGTTGTGGCACCAGAGCAGCTATAGAAACGATGGGGAATGTCTGTGTTCAATAAAACTTTATTTATAAAACAGATTTGGTCCATATGACATCGTTCATAGCCCCCTTATCTAAAAGGTATCCTAGAGAGAGGCTGAGTTTCCTTCTTTATGGTATTAATCTTTTTGAAGTTTATCTGCTTTCTTGGAGAGTAAGCTTGTAGTAAGCTGCTTTTCTGAGTTCCTCCCCCTCCCCTGGCAAGGCTGTAATATGGACTCAATTATATACCTATTTATACCTTAGGATTCCCTATAAGTGCAATACTGACAGAAAGCTTGCGTTTCATTCCTCCACTCAATGAATTAGGAAATGAATGTCGTTTATCTTGCAATTTAAAGAAATTCAAGGCATTATTAATTTCATTGTGGCATATGTCCCAAGGCAATCCTTTCAGCTGAAAACCAAAAAAGAGAAGAGAGAATTTGCACTGGGTTCTGATAACCTACCAACCATCGCCACATCAGAATGATTCTAGACCCTTTTTTACATAGCAAGTATGGAAACATTTCCTCCTTCACTCATGTTATGAATTCACGGTCTTATTTCCATTTTCCACCCCACAACCTCAGAATATCTGCTGAAATCCTAACCCGGGATTTGTAAATAGGTGTTTGATTTTGTTACGAGGTCATAGATAGAGTAGAATGGTTCTTAACCCTGACCAGTTGAACAATAAAAAGAGAAACAGAGACACATATAGAAGAGGAAGAAAGAAGATGGAGACAGATGCATAGAAAAGTCCAGCAATGTCAAGACTCTTAAGATAGAGGTGGTGGTGATTGTATAGCTCCCCTTGACATGACTGAACAATTGAACTTCAATTGTAATATATGTAAATTGTGTGTCAATAAAATTGTTGAAAAAAATTATTCCAGATACTAGAAATTTAAATATACAAGGATGGACCTTCCCCTAGAACTGCATCCTACATTTGGGCTTCTAGCTTCCTGAATTGTGAGAAAATAAAATTTCTATCCTTTAAAGCCACCCAATCGTGGTACTTCTGTCACAGTAATATTAGGTAACCAGCACAACATCTTTGTCTCTAAAGAATTCATCTCAAAATCGAACTCTTGAATATACTTTGAGGTACATTTATGAGGAAGGTGAAAACATAAAAAGTTTCCCTCTGGCTTACCCTAGCAAAGAAGTAAAGGTGTTCAGATACCGTTAAATAATCAAACAAAAGATCATTTTGCGGACACAAACTGAAGCTCTTCCGTATATGAACCAGGTCCTTTGAAATATCAAATCCACAAACATATGCTTTTCCATGTGTAGGAGGGAACATACCTAGAACAAGCAGAAGCCAACACAGGGTTCTTAGTGTTAGTCAAGAGGAAGTATCCTTTGTCATTGATACCTGACTTGATTGTGCTTCTTTCTGTCTAAATCTCAACAGAGGACCACTTCAATGGTAATCCGATACTAATTTTTATTCATGGAGAATGGAGTAAATACAAAGCAGTTGTGAAGTATGGGAAATAAAATTGGGACATGATTACAATTAGGAGAAAACAACAACTTGGTGAGGAAGGTGAAAACAGTAACATGAAGCAAATGAAGAGTCTGGTGAATCTTCGAATTTAGCAAGCTGGGCCCACATCCGTGCTCACTGAGCTCACGTACACAAGGGGATTGCCCAGCATCTTTTTTTGCGAAGCTTAGATGATGTGTCTTCCCCTCAAGCTAAATTAATAAGAATTTCTGGGGGCTCAATTTGGCTCTTGTTATTAAAAACATATTTCCAGGTGATACTAAAGTATAGTCAGCATTTAGTATTAATATGTTAAGATGAATATTTTTATGAATATTCATTATCTTTTACTGGTCGTATATTTAGGAATATTAGTTTCAACAAACTAGATGAAAATTTCCCCTGTAGGTTTCAACTAGAGACAGATTTTATGAGAAACTTAATAAATAGTAAAGGAGTAATAATTGATAGTATGAAACTGCTAGCTTCTCTTTTTTTCAGCAAGTAAATTCCAGATGTAATTTAATTTGCTCCTCATAGACGAAGATGTAAGTCGTCTGTAACTGAATGAGAGTTTCCTGCGATTTAGGAGACTCAGAGGTTACTTGGCACCAAAAAAAAAAAACCCAAACTCATTGCCATTGAGTCAATGCTGACTCAGAGAGACCATCCAGGACAAGGCAGAACTGCCCATGTGGGTTTCCAAGACTGTCACTCTTTACAGGAACAAAAAATTTAAACTTTCTCCCTCGGAGCCACTGATGGGAATCACCAAGACTCCTTGGTAATGTGTTAGTCTGGGTAGTTAGTTTATTGTGCCAACCTGGCTAATAAACACATGTGGGGTTAATTGAAGGGCGGAGGGATAAATGGCTCAGTGAGCCTCGCCTCTCTAGGTCTCGGGTCTGTTGTTTCTGATGGTCAGACCAGGGTGCAGCTGCCTTAGCCAGTTCCCTGCTTTAGCTGGCAAGGCTCACTTCCTGCAAGACATCCCTGAGGAGAAGCCACATGGACCTACCGTGATGCAGCTCTGGGTGCTGGAGCAGCTGTGTGGAGACCCCTGCCAGCACTGAGATAATTACACATTCACTGACTTGGCTTTCCTCCTGCAGTCGGCATCGTTGTGTCTGTTTTGTGAGATGGAGGAGGACTTTGTGGACTGGTGTTGGACATATGGGTTAATGTTGGACTTGTGGGCTTGGGCAGCATTGGGTTGGGATGTTTTCTTGATGTGCACTTACCCTTTATATAAAACTCTCTCTCGTACATGAGTTTCCGTGGATTTGTTTCTCTAAAGGACCCAGACTAACACAACACTCTATCTTGAAAGAAGTACAGCCAGAGAGCTCTTTGGAGGCAAGGATGGCAAGACTGTCATTTTGGATCTGTTGTCAGGATAGACCAGTGCTCAGAGAAGATGCCATGGTTGGTAAAGTAGGTGTTTTGTTTTTGTTGTTAGGTACTATTGAGTCAGTTCCGATCCATAGCGACCCTATGCACAACAGAATGAAACACTGCCCAGTCCTGCACCATCCTCACAACTAATTGCTCCTATGCCTGAGTCCATTGTTTCAGCAATTGTGTCAATCCATCTCCTTGAGGGTCTTCCTATTTTTTTTTATGCCTCTCTACGTTACCATTGTATTTTTAATCTGGTTTCTATTTTTTGAATTTAAGGAACCCTGGTGGCACAATGGTTCAGTGATTGATTGCTAACCGAAAAGTCAGAGATTCAAACCCACGAACAGATCTGTAGCAGAAAAGGGCTATCATCTGCGCCTCTAATGATTACATCCTTGTAAACCCCATGGATCAGTCCCCCCAACCCTGTTTTACATAGGGTCACAACTTGGAATTTACTTGATGACACACCACCACAATATTTCAATTGAGAAGTTACTATTATTCTGTAACTTATTTGAAAGTAATGCTTTTTCTAGACAACTTTTAAGAATTTTTCATTGCTTTGCCTTTCAGAGCTTGGCTAGGATGTGACTCTATGTAGTGTTATTTTTATTTACACTATTTGGGGCTTACAAATCTTCCTGTATTTGTAGCTTAAGGTCTTTCTTTAGGTTTACAAAATGGTCAGCAAGGATAATTTCATATAAATATTTCCCAATATTTATTTTGTATCCTTATGCGGTTCTAGTTTACTCCATGTTAAATCCTCTCACCAAATACCCTTTGCCTCTGCCTGTCTATTCTATATTTCTATCCTTTTTCTCTCTTTCATTTAATTTACATCATCTTCTAACTTCTCTTCCAGTTTTATCGAATATGCTGCAAACATCATCCATTGAGCTCTTAATTTAATGCATTTTATTAAAAATTCTAATTCTTTAATAAAATTCTCAACTCTGTATTTGATTTCTTTGAACATTTTATTAAAAATTAATAAAATTCTCAACTCTGTATTTGATTTCTTTGAATATCTATCTATCTATCTATCTATCTATCTATCTATCTATCTATGATGTTTGGTGCTGTCAAGTCATTCTGACACACAATGAGCCTATGTACAAAAGAATGAAACACTGCCCTGGCTTGTGCTATCCTCACAATTGAAGAGCAGCAATGTATGTGCAACTCCATAATTTTAAATTTTATACCAGCAGGAAAAATGCCTGAAATATAGCAATTAAGCTTTCAACATTTTGTTGAGATTCTAAACAAATACCATAGTGGTTACTTTTCTCTTGGAAGCTTATTATTTTTGTTTGAGATTTTAATTCTTCTCTTTTAATATTTTTCTTTAAAAGCTGCTAGTGATTGGAACTGGGATAGAATGGGAGCAAGGGTTTCTCTCTTTCTTTTAAATCATTTTATTGGGGGCTTGAGGGTTTGTTTTGTTATTCAGGTAACGAGGTTTTGTAATAAGTCATGTTGGCTGTAATTGCCCTGATGGCTTGTTTGTCATTGCCCTATATTCGGTGGTGTTTTTTTCTTCCTGGTGGTGTACTTTGTATGTTCAAGAGTCACTTTTTGCTATAGCATGCTTTTCATGCTGTCTGACCTCTGTCAATAGGAGAAAACTCAAATTTGGGTTTAAGAATTTTACAAGAAGGCCTTCAGTGTTATTTATCTCCCCCAAATTGTGTTTTCTGGCCATTGTACACAGGCACAAATAAACAGATACAGAGATCACGAACCACATAAAATGCTGAACTCCTTTTCGTTGCACGGAATCCAAGATAGACAAACCCCTCAAAAACAGTAATGGGAGTAATGATTCCCTGAAGGCATGGGAAGAGATGGGGGGGGGGAGGGAAACGGATAGAAATGATGAATATATAACCCCACTGGAGGGGAATGAACAACAGAATTGTAAGTGAATAGATACATATGGCGATATTTATAATAATAATAATATATAATATATTCAGGGTCCCTGGGGGTGGTAGGGTGGGGTAGGGAAGGGATAAAGGGGAGCTGATATCAAAGAGCTCAAGAAGAACGAAAATGTATTGAAAATGATGATGACAGCTATTGTACAATTATACTTGATCTAATGGAACTATGGGTTGTAATAATAATAATATCTGTAAGAGCTCCTAATAAAATGTTTAAAAAATTGCTGAACTCTTAAGGATCTCTGGAAGCTGTCTCTGTTTCTCCTTCTTGTTGTCCCATATATATAATTCTTAATGAATATTAGCAGTTTGCACTAAGGTGTGTAAGTATCTCTTACAGGTATGTGTACAGCTCTGTCCCTACACTCCCTTATCTCCCACTCACAACTACAACTTATTCTCTGACACTCAAATACAGTAGAACCCCGGACCTTGACGCTAATCCGTTCTAAAAGGAGCTTTGAGATGCGATGCAGTCAAGTTCCAAATCAATTTTTACCATAAGAAATAACTGAAAATCGGTTAATCCGTTCTCATCCACCACGTTTTCACCCTAATCTTGCC